GCCCCCTCCTGTACCCCCAGCAGCCCCCTCCTGTACCCCCAGCAGCCCCCTCCTGTACCCCCAACAGCCCCCTCCTGTACCCCCAACAGCCCCCTCCTGTACCCCCAGCAGCCCCCTCCTGTACCCCCAGCAGCCCCCTCCTGTACCCCCAGCAGCCCCCACCTATACCCCCAGTAGCCCCCTCCTGTACCCCCAGCAGCCCCCTCCTGTACTCCCAACAGCCCCCTCCTGTACCCCCAGGAGCCTCCTCCTGTACCCCCAGGAGCCCCCTTCCTGTCGCCTGATGAAGCTAGTTGTAATTACTGGCGAAACGTCGTACTCAGAATATAAATGTTGTGGCTTGGCTCTCCAACACACACCGGTGTGCTGTACTCGTGACGAATTGGCCACTTTCTGTTTACGTGACAACCCTTACTAGTTGGCTGTGTCGGGTGGTGGCGGGTTTAACGACACATTTATATATTTACACGATCTAACCCAAAACAACCTCTATTATGGATGGTATTGGTCGCGAACGCCTGCCGCGTGTTAAACCAAAACAAAACGAGTTTTTCGATCGACTCTTTGCTGCCTGCGAAGATCGAGGCTGCGAGGCCCGGCGTGGTGGGGGGGCGGGTCCCCGCCTCCATCCTTGCAACGCGGCCACCCAGACGAAGGCGAGCCGATGTTGTCGTCGGTGTGTGATGTTGAACTTCTTTCGCACCGTACGTAGCCAGCCATCAACACTTTCTGAGACTCAAGTGTTGGCGTCCTTTCCACCCGTCACAATAAACAACAGTATCCACGACCATCTCTAACCGGTGAAGGCTTCTTTCTACCTCATACATTGTGACCCTCGGCCCACCAACGGCCCGACATCGCTTCCTCGCCCCCCTCGCCCTGCGCATCGCCGCCTTCGATCGCCTCGTCCGCATCAAACTCTTCCTTTGGTGATCTCGTGTACCGTGCCAGACGTAACATGTGCTCGCTAACAGCATTTCTCCCATGCGGCCAATGTGCGTGTCCGTGTACGACGAGTGTGTTGATAAGAGGCATCGAGTGCCAGGAATCGAACCCGATTGTTGGCTCACGGCTAACGTCAGTGGCGATCCTCTGAATGGCGATCTTGGCTTTCCAGGTGGACTCGGTTTTAACGATGAATGGGGTGAGTGCCTTCCGTGCGGGGTGTGGACATCAGCGCCGGGGAGACAAAGGCGCTCGGGCGTGGTGCGGCCACTCCGGGGATCACTTGACGCGCGATTTCTGAGCGTCCTGAGCGGGTCTGCAGCAGTCGCGGAGAGTATTAATAATAATCACGCACGCCGTGTAAAGCGGAGAGACCTCTGTAAGAAATTCCATTCGCTTGACGTGGCCACCCGCTTATTCATCGTGGGCCATAACGCAATAAAGAGTTCGACTCCATCCATCGCTCCGTCTCCCCGGCGTACGTGCCCATTCCGTGGCTGCCAGGCCAATCACCTGGTTACTCATTTACCGCGCACACGATCCGCACACAGCGACCCCAACCCTCTACCCCCAGCCCAGTGCGTGCCTCGGCCGACAGCCCAAGCCATCACCACCCCCATCACCACCCCGACCCCTCCTGCCATGTGTACACGGCCAGCCCCCGCATTCCGAACGGCTGCCTCGAAGAACCGGCGTGGACTTCGCTCTGAGCCCGGAGTGGAATCACGCACATTCCGATCATTGTGTGTTCACACAGCCAGACAAAGGTCCCCCGTATAGCCTTCAGAAGACGGCATGGGCAAGTGCTGTTAGCGAGTCGCACCTATGTGAAGGCCGCCACGGAAAACGACAGGGGGTGGGTGGCAAGCACCCCACGCCCGTCCGCCTTTGTCTCCCCGCTGTTGATGTCTCCACGTGCCCCAAGGCATGCTCATTGGAGGTCGGGTCGAGTTAGGGAAGGCCCAGGACCGGTTTTCACACGCGCAGATACACACACACAGCCGCACGTACGGATGCACGTACAACTACATGTGCATACGCATGTGCGTTGGGGTACTACACGCGTGTTCAGTGCATGTACAGCCCGCACTGTCCAAGTGTGTGGGAGGAGGGGGGGGGGGCTCCAGCAGTGGAATTTATTTTAAAAAGGGCTGCATATGAACTAAACTAAGTTCTATATTTTACCAGGTCAGGCTCACTGAGCTATATCGTTCTTTTTCAGAAGCGACCTGGCTATCACAAATGATAGCGCAACGAAGGGGGCTTATCACGAGGAAATGTATAGCAGTAGCCAAATACTCTAAACGCGTGATGTTGATTCTAAATGTGGAGGGAAAAACCGGAGGACCCGGAGAAAAATCCACGCCACCACGGGGAGAAAGGCAAGCGGCATCGAACCCACGACCTCCTGTATAACAGGCGAGGTCGTCAACATCTCCCCACCGTGGTGCCCTCATGTTATGTTTAAGATGTACATGGCGATATATAATACAGAGATAAAGATGCCCTTCAACATGTTGCACCCATTACAGCCGGCACGGCGCACGAGGAAGTGGGTGGCCAACACCACACCCGGCCGCCTTTGTCTCCCCAGTGCTGATGTTTATACACCGCGCCAGGTACTTAATCTGATGTAGAACAGACACAGAGGATGCCCAGGAACGGTTCAGATATTGCGTCACTGGCGTTGGCCGTGAGCGGGAATCAAAGCCGGTTCCTCGGGGTTCGTGGCGCGCAGTGCGCTAACCACTGGGCCCACCGCTCTCCACGTGGAGCAAAAAACAACTGCGTTGTCATGGACACTGCCTGTGATCCATAATCCATATGACCATCATCGGCAGCCTTGATCGATCCTCTGCTGGATGAAGGCCTCTCCGAGCCGTCGCCACCTCCCACGGCGACGCGACATATTCCTGTTTGTCGTGCCCGTCTTGATTCGTCTCCAGGACATATGGGGACATATTTAACAGTTCTTTGTGTCAATCCACTACTGGATGGTCTCCCTCGTGCCGTGCCGAGAGTGATGGCCGTTTAACCATACTTCACCACGCTGGTCAAGTGCGGATTGGTGAAATGTGGTCCCGGGGCCGACCGGTTTGGATATTTACTGATGTGAGCCGACAGTCGAACTCAGGTTGTCGGGCTTAATCAATGAGAGTTCATACAGGAGATGAACACCCATGTCCATGTAGACATACAAACAGTAGACGCCACAGTGCGTGCTCGTCCGTCTCTCCGTACCCTCTGCCGCGTGTCTGTCTGTCCGTGTGTCTCTGTGTCTTTACGACTGTCCGTGTGTCTCTGTGTCTTTACGACTGTCCGCGTGTCTGTCTGTCCGTGTGTCTCTGTGTAACGAGGGCCTGGCACGGCCACCCTCTCGTGACGACGTTTCAGTTATAAAACAAAATGATAAAAAAAATCTCCTTTCCTAACGCTGCATTTGATCGCGTGATCCGAGCCGAGGTGTTGCCCCCTGTCGCAATCTCGACATCGCGTACTTGGTAACCTTTCAGATGCCACTGCAATTTCTTGAAAAATAATTTCACGCTTTGCCATTTGAAATGCAGGGGAGAGGCGACTGCGTTTTAAAGCGGCCGTGTAAACTTGTCAGCTGATTTTAATGTTTTAGTACCGCAGTCCTTCCGGCACGGTTGGCTACGTACGGTGCGATAGAAGTTCAAGAGACGAGCTCCCCACGGCCGCAGCCCTTCACCGTGAACACCGACGTCGTCAGATCTCGGCAGCCGGTCGGGGGTTGAGTCCGGATCAGCGGTATATATGTGTGTATGTATATGTGTATATATGTGTATGTATATATGTGTGCATGTGTATATATGTGTGTATGTATATGTGTATATATGTATTTGTGTGTACGTATATGTATATACGTGTGTATGTACATATATGTGTATGTATGTATGTGTGTATGTATTATATGTGTATGTATGTGTGTATGTACGTGTGTACACCCACATAGGGCAGCGTTAGCGGTTAGCGCGCTTTGCTACGGGCCCGGCGACCCGAGTTCGATTCCCGCTCACGGCCAACACCAGTGACGATTATCTGAACCGGTCCTGGGTCTCCCCTAGGTCGACCGAGCCTCAAATGAGTACCTGGTGCGGTGTGTAAACGTCGCCACTGGGGAGACAAAGGCGGCCGGGCGTGGTGTTAGCCACCCACCCCTCATGTGCTGTGGCGGCCTTCATAGGTGCTCGCTAACAGCACTTGCTAGAACAGTGTGTTGCCGCTACACGGGGATCTTTGTTGTAGTTGTGTGTGTGACTTTGGGTGTGGGGTTCCTTTGTCTTTGTTGTGTGACTGTGTAGGAGGCGGAGATTGTCGTTGTGATTGTGTGTGGGGGGGGGGGGTACAGAGTTTAGTGCACTGCGCTACGAACCCGGACACCCAAGTTCGATTCTCAATCACGGACAACGGCGATTATCTGAACCGGTTATGAGCCTTCCCTCGGGCCATTAATCCTCAAATAAGTGCCGAGTGCGATGTCTAAACATCGCTACTATAGGGAGACAAAGGCGGCCACCTACCCCCTCTTGTGCCTTGGCGACCTTCATAGGTCCATGGCGAGGCAGCACTTGCCCCAACAGTCTGTTAAGGCTACACGGGGAATCTTTGTCTTTGCTTGTGTGTGATGCTGGCCGCATCCCACCCCCTCGTGTGCCTTGCCGACTTCGTAGGCGCTTCGTTAACGGCACTTGCCCCGTTAGTCTGTTGAAGGCTACACGGGGATCTTTGTCTTTGTATGTGTGTGGGGGGTGAGGGTTAGTGGGGGTGGGGGAGAGACGTGGGGGGTTTGAGGGCGGCAGCAGCAGCAGGAGGCGGCGTGCTCACATCTTGGCTGCAGAGTGACATTCCATGCATTCTGTTCCGCTCGGGGTTGGTGTGGGGCGGAGATTGCAATGAAAATAAAATAACTGAGATGGGGGGCAGGGACGGAGGGGGAAGAGAACGAGCGAGGCAGGCAGGGTGGGGAGGGGAGAGTGTGCGTGTGCGCGTGTGTGCGCGCGTGTGCGTGCGTGTGTGCGCGTGTGCGCTTTACGCACATTCCTCGCCAACATACTTCACCATTAGACAGAGTTCGCTGCTCGCGCGGTTTGGCCTCAGCGCTCGCGCGAACTTTACACGTCGATGTCTGTTCGTGTCGTCGTCGTCAGAGTCAAAGTCTCCACATTTATTAATCGTGTTGTATTTAGCGCTGTTGGGTGCCGTCGGTACTTTAATGATTAATTAACAGAAAGTTAAAGTTGTTAGGCTTTGCGATTTGCTTCGCGTGCGGAGAGACCGACCGACAGAGAATCAAGTTCGTCTGAAATACAACTGGTGTCTGTGAGATAAAGCTTCATCGTGACGACGCCTCGCCTTCACCACTCAGGTACAACACGTGCCGAACGGCGCAATTCTCTCCTTGCGCGTGGTGCCATCAGCAGTACGTCACGTATGTAGTACGTATGTTCAGAAGCTGACATGTCAGTGTAGAACTCTGCTGGCCCTGACGAGAGGGCTTCTTCGGGAGAGTTCGTTCGCGAGGTTTTGCTCGTTTGCGTCTCCATTGAACGAGCACAGACGACTCCTGTGCAGTGGCTCACCCTCCGTGGCGTGTAGGCTCGAGTGTATGGCCACAATCCCAAGATTATACATGGCTTGGCTTTCATGTATCTCTAGGGGCCTCGACGATTCTCTATGGCACTCTGAGTCTCTATGGATCTCCGATTCTCTGGGTCTCCTTGATTATATATCTATGGGTCTCCTTGTTTCTCAATAGGTCTCTGAGTCTCTATGGGCCTCTGAGTCTCTTTAGGGTCTTTATGATTTTCTATGGGTCTCCTTGATTCTCTATGGATCTCTTTGATTCCCTTTGGGTGTCTATGATTATCTACGGGTGTCTGTAATTTTATACGGGTCTCTGATTCCCTGTGGGTCTCAACGGATCTATATAATTATCTATGGGTCGCTATGAGTCTCTATGGGGTTCTATGAGTCGCTATGAGTCTCTGATTCTCTACGGGTCCTCCTTGAGTCTCTATGGTTCTCTGATTCCCTATAGGTTTCGATGATTCTCGATGGGTCTCTATGATTCTCGGGGTCTGCATGGGTCTCTGATTCTCTATGATTCCCTATGGGTCTCTATGATTCCCTATGGGTCTCTATGGGTCTCTATGATTCTCTATGGCAGTATGTCCCGGCGCTAGATGCTCGTGTCGATGCTTTGCTGCTGCTGCTGCTGAAGTAAGCTTAGACCACCACAGTGGGTTTACTGACATCGCTCGGGTTGGGTCGCGACAATACAACCACTCACTGTACGTGGTGTTTGTATCATGAGTCACGAACATCCATTGCTCGATGAAAGTCTTCCCAAGTCGGCGCGTCCGTCTCTCTATGACAACTCGAAATTCGTGTACCGGACAAAGCACGCGGTTCAAATATAATCAAGTATAAAGTGTAATCAAATATAAAGTGTAATCAAATATAAAGTGTAATCAAATATAAAGTGTAATCAAATATAAAGTGTAATCAAATATAAAGTGTAATCAAATATAAAGTGTAATCAAATATAAAGTGTAATCAAATATAAAGTGTACTCGGTGAGCGGTGGCGCAGTGGTTAGCGCGGTGACTCCAGTTAAATTCCCCGATCACGGGCTCGCGAGTGATTTTTCTCCGGGTCCTCCGGTTTTTCCCTCCATTTATAATGAACATCGTGCGTTTAGAGTAAGTAGCTGCTATATATGTCCACGTGACGGTGACGATGATGATGATGAGCCACTTCATTGAGTTATCATTTGTGGTGGCCAGGTCGCTTCTGAAAAAGAGCGACATCGCTCAGTGGGCCTTACCTGGTGAAATAAAAAAACAATTGGTGAGTTTTAGTTTAGATGTTGGTATCATATGATGTGATGAAGGCGACGATGTTTGTGACAGATAATGAACATTATGGGGAGTTATTGTATGATGATAGATGATGATGATGAGGTGAGCGGTGGCGCAGTGGTTAGCGCACTGTGCTATGAACCTGGCAAGCTGAGCTCGATTCCGGGCCAAGGCTAACATGAACCGGTCTTAACCCCCCTCCTTCACCAACCCATACTGACCAGCGTAGTGAAGTATGGGCAACCAGCTCCCATGAACAACATGGGAAGCCTTTGTCCAGTCGTGGATTGGCAAAGAGCTGTAAATACACATTAGTGTGATGGTCGTACGCATGGCACATTGATGATGGTGATGACGATGTCGTGTTTCATGATGTGGTCCGTGGCTTGAGATGGAGCTGTGAAAGGTTACAACAGAGACCCAGACTTACATGGAGGACGTTCACAGACCCATAGGAACACACGCACAGACCCATAGGGACAATGTTGGAAGCGGTCACTGCAAGTTGACTCTGTGCCGTGGTTTGGAATTGGCAACCGCCATTGCATTACGCCGCGGGGTCTATTCTGGACGGGCCCGTTGGCCTGGCAAGGCCGCTCGTCTTCCACGAGATGTCCAGCAGCCGCCACTGCTGCCGCTGCTGCCTAATGTTCACCTCGCGCACCCTTGTCTGCACCTCCACAGAAACGCGCGTTGAGATTATTTTGATTAATTTAGCAAATATAAATTCCTGTGCGATGAGCCGCTTTGTCGAGCGATCGTTTGTGATGGCCAAGTCGCTTTCTGAAAAAGTGAAAACCTCGGTGGGCTTTGCCTGCTAGGATGTGGATGGTATTTGGATGTTTTGGGGTGATTTGTTTCGCGTTGCCTGTACTTTGCACTCCGATCGTGTTTGTGTGCCGTTTGTTGTTATAACGTTCTGACCCCGTGCCCCAACTGGACATCTGTGATAAAAAAAAGCTTCATAGTTCATCGCATTCCTCCAGTACGAATATAGATTCTGATTCTGTTTTGTGTCGACCGACAGGCGAAGGACCGATGCCACAGGAGGCCAGCGGGACAGCCACGGCTACCTAAGGAGGCCGCTCCTCCCCCCGGTGGAGAGACGCGCGGGGAGAGACGCGCCCGCGGCATGAAGCCCTGCCCTCCCATGGAGGCGAGCGACGCGGGCTCGTGCAGCCCCTTCATCCAGCGCCTGATCCAGGAGCAGCTGCGCTACGGGGACCCCCACGAGGCCCGCCTGCTCCTCGCCCTGCAGCAGCAGGCCGCCAAGGCGGCCGCCGCGTCGCCTGCGTCGTCCGCTTCGTCGCCCGCCGATCGCCAGGATCCCCAAGGGCAGGAGGAGGATGGCGAGACGGAGCCGCTGCCTCCCTCCTATGCCGAGGCCAAGGCCCTCGCGATGAGCCGCCAGGCCAACGCGGCCGTGGCAGCCGTTGCTGGCGGCGGCGGCGCCTGCTTGCTGGTGGAGGACTACCAGCGCGCGCCGCCGGAAGCGGAGCTCTGCGCGAGCTCCCGCGTCTGGCTGGCGAACGGCGCTCCGTCGTCGTCGCCGTGCGAGGATGCGGCGGCGGCGGCGGCGAATGTGAATGTGCGATCGCTGGGCGAAGTTGCCTCTTTCACCCAGGAGGTTGCGTATGCACAGCACCACCAGCAGCAGCAACATCTACAGCATCTACAACAACAGCAACAGCAGCAGCAGCACCATCTACAGCATCTACAACAGCAGCAGCATCTGCAGCAGCAGCAACAGCAGCAGCATATTCAACAGCAGCATTTTCAGCAGCAGCAGCGTCTGCAGCAGCAGCAGAGGGGCACGGCAGTGGCCAAGGGCCGCCAGGGCGGTTTGAGTCGCGCCGCGTCGCAGCTGTGCGGCCGCCAGGCCGTAGGCTGGAGCCGGATGACGCACAGGGCCTGCTACAGCGACCCCAGCTCCAGGGAGCGCTGGGAGGAGCAGGGGGACGTCGCCCGCGGAGACGGAGCGCCGCGCGAGGCGCGTGGCCCCCCGCGGGCGCCGGCCGACACCGCCTGGCTCCGGGGGGCGGCCCCCCCCTCGCAGTTCACGCCGCAGCAAGCCCGGTAAAGAGCGCGAGCGAGACGCGTCGACACGGTTTTGCTTTGGTACCGATTTCTATTCGCTTCAGGGTCGTGCTTTGCTTGTATTTTGGCTGTTGTTGTTATTCCCTTTCGGTGACCCGGGTCACTCTCTCGCGAATGAGACTCACATCCTGGCCTCTTGACTTCTCTCACCTGGTTCACGCAAACTCAGCTCGTGGTTGCAACTTTGGTTTGATGGCACTCCAATGGGATGTGCCACGTGGTTCGCTGGTACGATGGACATTGTTTCTGAAGGAGCTCGTCAAGGAGCGTGAGCCATCATCGTGTGAACTCAGCTCATCCTCGCAGCGGTGGCTTTTTGACTGGGCCATCACACAAAGGCGGTCACCGCATCGCACTGCGCTTTCAGATGTGCTCCTGTGGCCGTCTGGTAACGCTCTTCCTTCCGATATTAGGAAGCCGCTGGAGCTATGCACTTTTAAATCATTATCTCGATTTAAAACTCATTTCTTTATAACTGCTTTTTGTCTTGAGTTTGTTGTCCTTCCGCCGCACCTCCAATTAGCAAGTTGGCTACGTACGGTACGAAAGAAGTTCAACGTACACACATACTGCGTGTACCACTGTAGTGGCAGTGTCGCGGTTAGCGTACCGTGCTACTAACCCAGTGACCCGAGTTCGACTCCTACTCATGACCAACACCAGTGACGATTATTTGAACCGTCCAGTGCCTCCAGTAGGTCGACTCAGCCTCTAATGAGTACCTGGTGTGTTGTGCAAACATCGCCACTGGGGAGACATACGTACATATGCGGCGGGAAGAGCTTCAGCAACAGAAAGAGAATTCCTCGCTCCGGTGCGTGGAGCGAAACGTCAGACGTTGTGCCAAAAAACAACACGTGGCACATCCCATGGGGCGCCGCGGTGGCGAGATGCTAACTACCTCGCCTGGTACACAGGAGGTCGTGGGTTCGATTTCGATCCTTACACCTCCTGCTGTATATTTGGAGTTTGCGTGCCTCTCTCCCCGTGGTTTCCTGGATTTTTCTCCGGGTCCTCCGGTTTTTCCCTCCACATTTATAATCAACATCATGCGTTTAGAATATTCTGCTGCTGTAAATTTTCACTTGAATGATAAGCCACTTCGTCGCGCACAGCACAACAAGTCACGTGAACGTCACCGCTCGCTGTTGAAGACGTTGAACTTATTTCGCACAGTACAAAGCCACACCGTGCTCATCCGAGGTGCGGCCGAAGTACAACAAACTAAAACACAAAAAGTAGTTGAAAATAAATGACTTTATCAATCTGGATGACTGAAAAGTGCATAGCTCCGGTGACTGCCGAATATCGGAGTGGAAGAGCGTTCCAGACGGCCGCAGAAGCGAATCTGAGAGCTCGCGATGCGGTGGCCGTCTGATGGACGAAATGGGCAGTTTTTAAGTGGCAGGCCCTCCCTGGTGCGACCGCGGGGACACTGGGAAGTCAAGTTGTGGGGTCTTGTCTGGCCCACGCGGTCTGTGCCGTTGTTACGTAAGGTCGTAAAGCAACAGAGTTTATAGCTAAAAAATGTGTGAGCAAGGGGCAATTCGCATTGTATCATTATCTCTCATTAGTCATTACACCAGTGTCCTGGGGTTCAGCCAGGTTAGTCACTTGGCGCAGGTTCTCACAGTCAGCACCATCGTGTGACCGTGTGAGTGGCGCGAACCTATAACGTCTGGCTCTCACCTGTGATGGCGTAGAGGCGAGATTTTGCCACTTCATGTGGCCTCAAGCAGCACCTAGCTTGGCACCTGCACTGTGGCTACACCACCGCTACGACTATGAAGTGGTGAATAGCGGCCGTGTGTGTATATATGAGCGTGGGTGTTTGTATTGTGTGGGAAGCGGTAGAGTAATTGTTAGCGCGCTGCACTAGGAACCCGATTTCCGCTCATAGCCAACACCAGTGACGATAACCTGAGCCATGTCCTGGGCCTCCCCTAGGTTGACTCAGCCTCAAATGAGTACCTGGTGCGGCGATGTAAGCATCTCTACTGGGGAGACAAAGGTGGCCGGGTGTGGGGCTGGCAACCCACCCTGTCGTGTCCTGTTCCGGGCCTTCATAGGTGCTCGCTAACAGCACTTGCCCCTATATGGGGGATTTTTGTCAAGTGGGTATGTTAGGAGTGGGGTTGTGGTAGATTTTAAACTAATTTATTTAAAACCGCTTGTTGTTGTGTTGCGTTTGTTGTCCTTCCCTCCCGCAACCTTCGATGAGCACGGTTGGCTACGTACGGTGCGAAAAGAAGTTCAACGTACACGCATTTGAATATATGTGACATACGTACATACGTGACCACACCTCCAGAGGTAGTGCGCTTGATCCCGGCACGTGACAGGCAGGGTCATCGGTGGCGGCGGCCTCGCGGGGTTACGTTCTGCGCGTAACTCCCAGTCATACGCGCAACACGCACCGCCTTCACCAAAGCCACGCCGACCAACGTGGGGAAGTATGGTCAATTCGCCGCAACGAAAACCGCGCGGCTGCTGGCGAGGCCCCCGCCGCGTGCATCCAGCAGTGGATCAATGGTGGGTCGATGGTGAATGAACTCCGGGGAGTGGAATTTATTTGAACAGAAACAAGAAGTGTGATGATTGAGCCCGCGTGGCGCCAGGAGGGGACAGTAGGCTCTCTCTTGTGGTGCCTGAGGTTGGTTAACTCCAGGCACATGGCCCCTGTGTACGTGTGTGTCGAACTTCTTTCGCACTGTACGTAGCCAACCATGCTAATCTAAACTAAACTATGAAAACTATTTTATGTTACCAGTGTAAGGCTCACTGAGCTGTGTAGTTCCTTTTCAGAAGCGATCCGTCGGGTTTCGCGTGTCGAAATTGATAGCAGCCAAGGACCCGAAACTTGTGGCGATGTTGATTCTACACGTGGAGGGGAAACCCGGAGGACCCGGAAGAAATATTCACACGACCACGGAGAGAGAGACGCGCCAACTCCAAATATACAGCTGGCGTTAGGGCCGGGATAGAAAACACGACCTCCTGTATACCGGGCGAGGTAGTTAACATCTCATCGCCACCGTGGCACCACCGAGGTCTTGGGAAGGACAACAAAGACCCACACAAAGTCGGGGGGTTTCCACCCGTCCCGCTTGGACCTTGCCAATCTGAGAATCTGCTTAATTTGGATTCGGGTGACGAGATTTGCCTTGCATCGAGACGTGGTAGTGGCGTTGTGTGTTGCACGTGGGTACCGTATGTTGCACTTCTTTCGCACCGTACATCGCCAACAAAAGGCCGTTCTAAAGAAATTTGTTTTCAAACAAACCGATTTCATCGTACCCGTGGCTGCCCACCGAGAAGCGGATACGCGTCCGGATCTCCGGCGAGGGAGATGAGGTGGTGGCCGCAGATCGCCGCACAAACCCAGTCCTCGAAGCTCTGAAACTCTGGCAACCACGAGGTGGTCAGCCTCTTGAACGGCCCAGTCGAGACCACATTCGCGAATGTTCACTCGACGTCTCTGCCACTCGACACCCACGCAGACAAAGACACCGGCACGCGCGGCGCGGTCCGCGCCTTCTACGCCTGTGACCAACTCGCGCGGAATGCGGCCGATCTCGTCGCGTCTCAAGGAAGCGAGGCCTGCTGCTGCTGCAGCACGCGCCGTGTTTGGATGGGCGACTACCGTCCACCACAGGGGTTGTCATGGGGCTGCCGGGGGCCGGGACGGCGGGTGGGCTATAGGGTAGATGCTGTAGGGGAGATGTTGTAGGGGAGATGCTATAGGGGAGATGATGTAGGGGAGATGCTATCAGAGAGATGCTCGAGGTGGATACTCGCATTCACACGAATTTTACAAATCTGTTTGGAGTACTGGACGTGCGTGAATGTGCTACTATTGTCCGCGCCTCCGATTATCACGGATGGCTACGTACGGTGCGAAAGAAGTCCAACGAACATACGATGTGTGCCACTGTCGTGGTGGTGTAGCGGTTAGCGCACAGTGCTCCTCACCCGGTGACCCGAGTTCGATTCCTGCTGATGGCCAACACCAATAACGATTATTTGAACCAGTTCAGTGTCTCCCATAGGTCGACTCAGCCTCAAATGAGTACCTGGTGCGGTATGTAAACATCGCCACTGGGGAGACAAAGACGTCCGGGTGTGGTGCTGGCCACCGACCCTCTTGTGTGCTGTGCTGGCCTTCATAGGTGCTCGCTCACAGCACTTGCCCCTCCAGTCTGTTCAGGCGATGCGGGGGTAATACGCACGAGGCGACAGCCAGAGCAGAATGCACGACAGACGAAGGCAAATCGCATCGTTCAGCGTCCGTTTAACGTTTCTTTCACATTCACGGCTTTTGGCTGGCCATCGAACAAAGACGGTCACCGCATCGCGCGCGTTCATATGCGCTTCTGCGGCCGTCTGGAACGCTCTCCCTACCGATATTAGGAAGCCACTGGGAGTTATGCACCATGCCCGGCCGCCTTTGTCTCCTCAGTGGCAATGTTTGCACACCACACGAGGCGCTCGTTTGAAGCTGAGTCGCCCTAGCGGAGGAGGCCCATGACCGGTTCAGATGATCGTGACTGGAGGTGGCGGCCGTTCGCGGGAATAGAACTCAGTGTTGCTAACCCCCTCAGTACCATCATCCCCACCACCCCCCCCCCCCGTGTGTACTCTGGAGGAACTGACCACAGGCGTAGGAATGTAAAAATATGCCGCGGCCGACTCTGGGGCCTCCAATGGAGATGAATGCCTCCCCATGTTTGTTGGGAGCGTGGAGACACTTGGCACCCACTTTCAGATTTTTGTGCGTACAGTGTCCAGAAATAAATAAAAACCCGACTTCGGTCCGTCCGTGCAGCTCTCAGCGCAACACAATAAGAGGTACAGTACGTTGTTGGCCATCAGCCTCTGAGGCCATCCAGACTAATGCTATCCAGCAGCGTTTGTTTAAACGAGCAGCGTCCCTATCGGCATTGACCTTCTGGTTCTCATCAACTGGGCAGTAGAGTGGTGCAGTGTGTAGCACTTGCGCATAACAGCAAGAATGCCCTGGGTTCGATTCCAGACTTGGGCGCCTTCCTGTATGGAATGTGCATGTTCTGTGCATGTCGTCCTGCCTGTTCTGCATCGGTTTCCTCGCTGTTCTAAATGGGGCCTCCGAGTACTCCGGTTTCCTCCCATAGTAAAAAAAAACATTGACCAAAATATCCCAATGCTGAAACATTACCTGGAAATTACTCAATTGGGATTACACAGCAGCTGCATCGTCCACGACTGTAAAAACTTGGCAGGACCCTCCTGAAATTAGAGTCTTGAGACTCAGTGAAGCTTTCCTGGGTAAACAAGAGAACTAAAGTAAACGCCTCTGTTTAAATGACTCCACAGGAGTGAGATCTATATTTAGCTGCCACGCCAGGAGATTGAACGGGTCGACCTCTGCCATTACAAGTCAAGTATGCGAAACCGATACACCGCAGAAGCATTCCACACATTCAAGTGCTGGGGTGCATTATAATGATGTCTACCGTGCATTCATTATTGTTTTTAATTATTTGCATTGCTGTTAAACTCGTCAATGTTTGATGTATTTTCACGTTTGTCCTCTGTTTCTCTGCCACAGGCCTCTGCCCACGCCTGCGTCGATGCCAACCTTGCACCAGAATTTCCAGGCACCTGCGGCCCAAATTCCACCACAGCAGCAGCAGCCAAGCCTCAGCCTAGCGGAGGTTCGGGCCCAGCGGCTAGGTGAAGCCTTGGCCCAGGAGAACAGACTTTTGCGAGCTCAGTTGGAGGAGCAGAAAGATAAGATGTGCCGCTTGGAAAAGGTACGTCGCAATGGAAAACAAAAAGGTGGCCTTACAATGAAGTGAACATCACTGAATAGCACTGCCCAAAGAATTATTTCAGAAAGTGGGATCTATAAAAAAACATTAATAATAACAACAAGTTTTAAAATACGGTCATGTTAAATGTGCGGTTCTGTTCTCCTATATGGATGTGAAAACTGGACAATTACAACAACCCGACAGTGAAAACTAGAAGCAACAGAGAAGTGAGTTTTAAGAAGGACGTTAAACGTTGCATGGAGAGACACGAGATGGGTGAACTACAAATGTGTGACGGAAAGCAGCAGGGTGCACGACAAGAACGCGAGAAGATATCATTAGAGAATGGCAAAGTTTTATTTCTCGGACATACAATAAGAAAACAAGATAAATGATATAAGTTCCACAAAAAAATACGGGGACAACGGGGGATCAAGTTGCAACGTTAGCAATGCTAATAATTGGATACAACTGGAAGTTTCCAATGCAAATATCACGGACAGAGCTGAGTGTGAGGAAGGCTGTGTTCGCCAACAGTCTTTGACAAAGGACGTGGCACAGAGGGAGACAATCATTTTAAACATTTTGAAAGGTTTCTGTTTTAATTAGGTTCCCTTTTGGCAGAGTTGGGGAGTAAACGGTTATAAGCGGCTGTCATTAGAAGTTTCAGCTACAATTACCAGAAGGCGGTGCATTAAAAGATTTCCATAATTAAATCTATTGCTTTTTGAGCTTATTTTACTCTTCAAAAGTTAGAAAATTACTCAAGAAAATTTTTTTAAAAGGAAAATTATTGTTAATAGCTTGGGTAAACGTGAGGAGAGCAGCAGCCAAACTGGAATAGTTTACTACGGCAGTCAAAACACTGCCTGCCCTTTAATTATCCACAGGGCTTCTTCACAAAGTCTCAACATTCAACATCACGATCATTCTGCATCGGGATGGGTGGACGGTTCCATTTCATGAGTGTTATCAAATCAGATTGCGTTACTTGAAAAACACGACAGGATTACGTTACTTCTAAACCTCCCAATGAGGAAACTGATTACAGGAATCAGGAACTGGTTACTTTATATTTAATTAAAATCTCTCTCATTCGTGGTTACATTTAGAGTTGTGCTGCTCAAGACTCGCATGGGGCTTTGTCCGGCGAGAGACGGTGGATACGGATGGGTGTTCGCACGGCTAAATAGAGGGTTAAATAAAGGGAGCGTCGTGGTCGTGGCTGAGGTGACGTGGCTTCTATTGCGATGTGGCATTCCTGTGGTTATGGGGATGGGTGCAGCGTAGCTGGAGCGTGGAATGTGACCACGTAGTTTTTGAGAGTGAATTCTCAGGAGCCCCTCACAGACCGTCGTCTCTTCCATCATACAGCGGCCGCCCATTAATACAAACTCAAAAGTTGACGGACAAACGCGTCCGCACGCAGGCGGCTCACGGAGCGCCGGGGTCAGAGCCACTGAGCCAACGCGGCGAAGTTCGAGTCCCGAGTCTCAGCCGCACGAAAATTGAGTTTCAGCCGCACGAGAATTGAGTTTCAGCCGCACGTGACTAACTGATCGAGTGTGTAGGCGAGGTGATGATCTCAGCCTGGTAACCGATGACTCGCACCAAAATCCCCGTCGCGTTAAATACATTTGGTTTCTGATGTAATCTGGCAAAATTCCAGCTCTGGGAGTTAACACACACAAAAATCCACATGATGGACATCACCGCCTCTGCAGCAAAGGGAGCGTGGGAAATTGCAACGCCCCAAACATAGATCAGTGGTCAATTGGTGGCCAATTGACAGGATCTCAGAAGTAGTTGGGGTGCGACGGTGTCAAGATGTTAACTAACTCGCCTGGTATGCAGGAGGTTGTGGGTTCGATCCCAACCCTGACCACTGTATATTTTGAGTTTGTATGTTCTCCCTGTTCTCCCTGTTCTCCCTGTGGTCGCGTGGCTTTTCCGCCGGGTTCTCCAGTTTTTTCCTCCACATGTAGAATCAACATCACACGTCTAGAGTGGTTGGCTTCTTTAGATTTCCACGTGATAAGCCACTTCGTTGAGCTCTCATTTGTGGCCAGGTTGCTTATGAAAAAGGGCCATAGAGCTCAGTGGGCTATCGTTTTATAGTTGTGGGTGATATCTTCTTCCGCAGACCATTCTCTAACAAGGGGTGACGTGCGACGCCCAATAGCGCAGTTTGATCAAAAATATACGAAGCTAAACACGAATCGCCTCACTCCCAGCGTCCACCTTGGGGAGACTGTGGTCTGACGTTAAATCCAGAAGGGTCATTCAGAGTTCCAAACCGCGACTCTTTCGGGCTTGGTAGAGACACGGCTTTAAAGGCAAAACGAGCATCGGGGGTCCAAATATTTCCAATCTCGAAAATGACATCGCAAATGACTCACTTGGGATGATGACACAGCAGCAATCGTCAGCCCCTGCTGGCAGAAGTAGCCTGATGCCCAGAGTCTCTCATGCAAATGAGACCCATCCTGACCTTTTGAGTTGTCACCTGGCTAGTAAACGGACTGCTCCTTGGACACACGGACACCTCGAGCAGACAGAAGCGTCCTGCACCACAGAGACGGGGGGCTTCACCGCGATCTTTTGCACGTCTCCCTCTCTCTCGATGTCTCTCTCTCTTCATCGCCACTCTCCCCTCACTGCTTCTCTGCCCCCCACCCACCCACCCCCACCCTCGCTCTGCAGTTGGAGAGCGAGATTTGCCGGCTGTCGTCCGCCTACCACACCATGGTGGAGTCCTCCAACAAGCGGGAGGCGCTCGAGAAGTCGATGCGCAGGAAGATGGAAGCGGAGATGAAGCGGCTGTCTGAGCTCAACCGCCAACTGATGGGTGAGTGTTCACGCCACGCGCGGCTATCGGCTATCGCGGGGGGAAAAACACGACCCGTGTTTGTGGGGTTTTATTTTTTAATGTCGGGTGGTTAAGCCGTGACGTCGGTGGCCCGGCCAGGTTCGTGTTGTCGTTCAATGGCCCGGCCGGGTTCCTGTTGTCGTTCGCAAACCCTCCCAACCCGGCACGACCGGCACGGCCCGGCACGGCCTGGACGAACAACGGTTTACGTCGCGAAAGCGGTCCGGGGACGACTCGCCATCCATGTTGCAGGGAAGGGACTCTCGCAGCTGACTCTGGTGGAGAAATGGGGTGGGCCGCGTTTGGATTTACCCACAGCTGAAGGGAGGTTTTGTTTGCATCAAGTCGCTCGGTGTAGTCCTGCCGTAGAGAACAAAGTGCCGGCCTCCGTCAGCCGTTGCTCTTCAGCGGTGCAGGTTGCTTAGCCGTGACCGGCAATCGAACTCGGTCCGTCGGGTTCATAGAACAATGCTCACTCAACATCGTCGCCACTGGGAAGACAAAGGCAGCCGGGCTTGGTGCTAGCCACCCCACCCCCTGTGCGTACCGTTCCGGCCTTCGTAGGTGCCACTCGCTAACAGCACTTGCCCCTACAGTCTGTTAGAGCTATACGGGGGGTCTTTGTTCCTGTCTGTGTGTACATGCGTGTGGAGTGCGGTAGCTCAGCGGGTATCGTACCACGCCACGAACCCAGCGAACCTGAGTTTGATTCTCAGCCAAGGCTAACGTCAGCGGCAAGCGATATCTCAGAACTGCTCCTGGGACTCTCCAAGGTCAAAGATGGTCACCGCATCGCGCTGCGCTTTGAGGTGCGCTTCTGGGGCCGTCTGGAACGCTCTTCCGTGCTTCGCAGCCGTGCCGACCTTAATAGACGCTTGCTAACAGCACTTTCCCCGACAATAATCCGTAGAACTATATGGTAACCTTTAGTCGCGTGTGCTCTGTACGTGTGTGAAGGTGGGGAGGCGCTCACGAGCGATAGATGCGCCGCGGAGTTTGAAGGCCGCGTGAGGGATCTGGAGGAGGCTCTTGGCGTAGCCCGGGAGAAGAACAGTCGGCTGCAGGAAGAGGTGAGGCCTCCCCCGTGTGGACTGCATTGCTGGACACTAAACCGTCGTCCGTCTACACCCGCCTGCATCCACCACCATCCATGCCGATGTTTGCGTAACTTAATTTTACTCTTAACGTTTAAACAAAAAAAATTGTCTGAGCCAACTTTTTCACGATAAAATGTATTCCATAAAATGTTGATGTTGGGTTGTGGGGTGTATTTGACTTCTCATGTAACGCCATTGGTTTTATTGCTTCGATTTCCAATTGCTTCATTGTGGTCCTAAATTTAAAACTTATTTATTTAGAACTGCTTGTTGTTTTGCTTAGTTTGTTGTCCATTCCCGCACCTCCGATTAGCAAGGTTGTCTACGTCCGGTGCCAAAGAAGTTCAATGTACAGTAACATAATAGAACACTGCTTATATGCTGCAGCTTTTGTTATGTTGGTGACCCGGGTGAGTCTTGCGACTCAGACTCTGTCCTCACCACTTGGGTTCTCACCCTAGTTCAACAAAATCAACTTGAAGGAACCCCCGAGTTTTGCCCCCCAGACGATCAAACCAGAGCGAAAAATTATCCGTAAAAAAGTTGAAGTTGCTTAACCGGGTGATAACTCGTTGCAAGAAACAGCTGGGTCACCGACATGACGAAGGCGACAACAAATGCAGCGCAGCAATGGAGCAAAAATAGAGATCGGAGCCAAAGCAAAACCACGTCTCGGATGCACCTGGAGCCACTTTCACACCCGCCAGTGGTCGTCTATCGTGCCGCGCGCATTCAAGTCAGACGCACGACGTTTCGGACGCGTGCCAATCATGCGATGCATTTGGGTGCCTAACATCGGTGGCAAATCTGAACTCCTGCCGTAGGTCAACTGGACATCAGAGAAAACGAGCTTCATAGCTCATCGGATTTCTCCAGTATTTGTAAAAATTCGGCCTTCGCATTCCGTAAAACATCGGCGCCGGGAAGGCGAAGGCACTCGCACACTCCTCACTCACTCCTCACTCACTCCTCACTCACTCCTCACTCACCCGTTCCTCACTCGCTCGCCTCACTCGCTCGCATGCCGTGCCGACCTCAACGCTAAATGGGTGCCATGTTTGCGTCTGTGTCGTCCCTCCTGCAGCTGCAGCGGAAGGTTGCCTGTGAGCACAGGGTGGAGACTCTCCAGGCAGCCCTGGCCCAGCTGCAGGCAGCAGCAGGCAAGCGAGACGTCATGGAGCAGAGGCTCCGAAGCCACCTGGAGAAGGAAGTGAAGAGTCTCAAGTTGCAGCAGGTACGGCGTGAGCTCGCTTGACGATTCGCTCTCTCGCCCCACACTGCTCAAACACTCTGGCCTATTCACTCGCTCAATAATTGCCCCACTCACTCACTCACTACCTAAACAATTCATTTCTCCTGCCGCTGCTGCCGCTGCCGCTGCTACCACTAAAACCACGCCGGTGTTCTTCCGAGGAGCGTTGCGTCCCTGCAATCACGACCAGACACAACCCCCATCGCGTCCCGCGGCACACAACACCTCAGCTCAGTCCCTCACCACAGAGTTCACTCGACCGACCAACTAACTCACCAACTAACTCACCAACCAACTAACCAACTAACTCACCAATTAACTCACCAACTAACTCACCAACCAACTAACCAACTAACTCACCAATTAACTCACCAACTAACTCACCAACTAACTCACCAACTAGCTCACCAACTAACTCGCCAACCGAGCAACTAACCAAGTGAGCGACCGACCGACTGACCACCGACCGCCGACACCGCCGCTCACGTCCTCGCACCGTCCCTCCCCGCCGCCCAGCGCCCGACGCCCGGAGCGGACCCCACGGCGACTCCGTCGTCGCCCTCGGCGGCGCAGGAAGCCGGCGCCCCGGGCCCTGCGGAGGACGACGTCCCCCGGCTGCGGCGAGCGCCGGAGGAGCAGGAGTCGCGCCTGCTGCGGCTGCAGGCGGAGTCGACGCGCTGGGAGCAGCGCTACCTGGAGGAGCGGGCGCTGCGCCAATTCACCACTGAGGCCGCCGCCACCGCTGCCGCTCACCGGTGAGAGCGCCGGCGACTCCCTCCTCCGGCCACTTCGTCGGCGGGGTCGGGACGGAGGGTTCGGGGTGGCCAGGGCGTCGCACGGGCGGGACGGGGGGGTGAGGGGGCGGGGGGCCGAGGGGGCGCGAGGGGGTGGCAGAATTAGCGGGTGACGTTCGCGCAAACGGTGACCGCGGTAGTAGCATCGTAGAGAGACGAGGAGGCGACCGACCGCCGGTGAGCGACCGGCGCCGATCGATGCGCATGCTGCACCATCGGGAAGTGAAATCCGGTTCGGTTCCTTCCACCCGGCACGTGGGAGCGAAACGTCGGGACGGCGTCGTGCCGAATTGACACGACGGCGCGACTCTCTCTCTTGAGAGAGAGAAAGCCGTTCGCGGCGCGCGGGCGAGGCGACTCCTCGCTCGCGTGATCCGTGACCCCCCCCATGACTCTGAGCGCTTCTGCCCCCCCCCCCCCGCCCCTTTACGCGTCTTCGACGCGCAGGGACACTTCGTCTCTCCTGTGGGAGGATCGCGCCAGCCCGGCGAGCGACAGCAGCGCCGACTTCAACGCGGCTCAGCGGCGCTGCGCCGAAATGGAGAACAGGTGAAGAGAAACGATCACTTTGGGTGGTCGACGCTCGGCAAGCGCTTGCAAAACAAATGAACAGCGATGCCTCCTCGCCCATCTCGTCAGCAAGCAGCGTGAACCGTCACCATTCTCGCAGGAGCAGCAGCGGCGGCGGCTTTTGGCTGGCGGTCCAACAAAGATGGTCACGGCATCGCGTGGCGCTTTCGGATGTCATTTTGCCGCCTAGAATGCTCTTCCTTCCAATATTAGGAAGCTACTGGAGCTACGCACTTTCAAATCATCATCTAGATTGAACAACTCGTGACTTTAGCGCTACTTTTTGTGTACTTATTTCGTTGTCCTCTCGTACCACCGATTAGCACGGTTGGCTACGTACAGTGCAGAAAAAGTTCTAAATACATTCATGTGTGGTGTGGTGTGTGTGTGGTGTGTGTGTGGTGTGTGTGTGTAGTGTGTGTGGTGTGTGTGTGTGGTGTGTGTGTGGGGTGTGTGGTGTGGTGTGTGTGTGGTGTGTGTGTGGTGTGATCCCTCCTGGGTTTGATGGCGGTTGTGACGATGGTGATTATGGTTGTGGTGGTGATGTTTTCGGCGATGATGAGGATGCTGAGGATTATGATAATGCTGTTGCTGCTGATGATGAAAACGATGATGTATATGTTGATCCTGCTGCTGGTGGTGATTATAGTGATGATATTGATGAGGATACTGATAATGTTGATACTGATGATGTTCATGATGATACTAATGATGATGTTGATGACGATGATGTTGATGCACCGTAGGCTGCGAGGACTTCACTCCCAGCTGCTGGAGCGTGATGCCGTGATCCGTGTTCTGCACTCGCGAGCCGGAGTCTGCTCCGAGCTGACGAGCCCAGGCACGGCAAGAGACCTGGACTCGAACCTTCGCCCCACCTCCTCAGCATCCTCGCCATCGTCACCATCAGCAGCGGCAGCAGCTCACAGCCAAGCTCAACTCAATGGCACAGGTAACCCTTCGGCGGATAACAGGAAGTTGCTGTACTCTTTGGGTCTTTCGGTAAAGTCACGTAGATAGGTTCAAAGAAAATAAATGATAATAAAGATTGTAAAACGACGACGTTTCCATCGCAACACAAGCGTTCGTCATCAGGAAGAAAAAAGAGGGGGAAAGCTGCTGAGGCAGACTGTTTAAAATGGGTAAAGCCCAAGGGTCATAAATGAAGTGGGTGGGGCTAGTGATGTTAATGTGAGAGATTAGCATGTTAATGTGAGAGATGAGCGTGTTAATGTGAGAGAATAGCATGTTAATGTGAGAGAATAGCATGTTAATGTGTATAGAATAGCGTGTTAATATGAGAGATGAAAAACCCAAAGAATATGAATTCCTGCAGTGACGCAAGCTTCAAGTCAGGAAGTCGCCGGTCAGAATGTGATGACCAGACAGGAAGTCCATGAGCCATGTTTGCGACAGAGCTGCAGTGATTGAAGTTCTTTCACACCGTACGTAGCCAACCGTTCTAATCGAAGGTGCGGGGTAAGGACTATAAATGAAACACAAAAAGCAGTGTATAAGAAATTAGTTTTCAATCTAATATAAAAGTGCAAAGCTCCAGTGGCTTCCTAATATGGGAAGGAAGAGCATTCCAGACGGCCACAGAAGTGGTACGCCAGAAGCCGCTGCTGCTGCTGCTGCTGCGAGGATGAAACGTGACGGCCCTCTGTCGATACGGATTCGGCACGAGGTCCGACGTTTTGCTCCATGTGCTGTGCCACGGGGGTTCTTGAGGAAACATCAAACACCGTGTCGATCGGCATGCCGTAGAAGCACCGCGTACGCCCACGCGGCGTGACGCGTGAGACGATCAATTCTAATAACTGTGTGCGTGCGTGCGTGGACTCTCCATGTCTCAGGGGGTCACGAAGAATCCGGAGCTCCGAGCGGTCGCGACGGCGGAATGACGGGAGTCACAATTGGCCGAGAAGCGTCGCGAGATTCTGGAATCCTGATTGGCCAGGAGCCCGAATGGGCCGGCTACTGCCTCGCGGATCTGTCCATGGAGCAGTTCAACCGGGAACGGCAGGAGCACTGCACGCGGAGTGAACTCGCGCCCTCGGCCCCATCCACATCACCGCCATCATCGTCGTCGCCATCATCGTCGCCATCATCGTCGTCGCCATCGTCGTCGTCGTCCCTCTGCCCCAAGATGCTGATTGGTCGAGAGCCGTCGCGCGACTCGGGAATTCTGATTGGCGACGGCGACGTGGACGAGAGCGAGGGGCGGTCACAAGGTGTGGCGGCTGCGATGACGTCATCGTCCTCGTCGTCATCGTCGTCTTCGTCGTCGTCGCTGCAGTCCCGCTACCGGTCAAACGCCGGCACACAAACGGACAAGGGGGCGGCGCAGGACAGGCCTCAGGCTCGTGCGTCGGACACCGTGGAAATCCTCATCTGAGGCACCCGGCGGCTTCGCCCCACCTTAGGGGGCCCTGGGAAAGGCGAAGGCCAAAGGTCAAAATAAACACGGAGGGGAGGGCAGCGGGCATCGCCGTCGACAGCACTCGGCCAGCAGCGGAAGTTCCTCATTCCTGCGGGCGGGCGGGGCCCGCCGGGCTTTTCCAAAGGAACGACCGCTGCTGGCTGCTCACTCTAAGCAGTACTTAATTTTAGATGATGGACCGAGTCGACCTCCTGGCGGGGATTTGAACTCGTCAAAGCCCGAACGAAGAAGCGACTGTTAATTTTTGCTACCTACGGCTGCGGTGTGAGCGGGGCTTCTCTCCCGCCTGAGTGTGAACAGTGGAAGGCAAAGGGGCAGCCCTAGAGTCGCTTGAGCCACGCCACTGCTGGCGGAAAAGGGGCCCCCGCCGCGGAGAGTTTACTCCTGTTCTGCTTTCCAGCTTGTTACTTCGCTCACCGTTTCATCAAAAAAAAGAGGACAAAGATCACCCGTGCCACTGTTGCTGTCGGCGAGCAGCTAGGAAGGGCCAGCACAGCACACATACGGGGTGGGTGACCGGCTCCACGCTCCGAGTGGGACCGGTTCAGATAATCGTCACTGGGCGACAGTGGCCATGGGCGGGAGTCGAATTCGGGCGGCCGGGTTCGGAGCGCAGCGTAGCGCTAACCGCCACGCCACCTCTTACCACCGCTCACCACCACCACCGCCATGCCACCGCTCACCACCACCACCACCACCAACCAACAGCGCCAACGCAATGGTCACCGAACGAGTTTGCCTCTCCGGCGTGTCATCCGGCCGTGCCACATGGAAATGGCGTCCGACGTTTCGCCTCCCCCCCACGTGCTTTGGGGGGGTGGGGATAAGCATCGCCAGTGCCTGAATTGGGAGACCGAACCGAAATTCGGTTTCCTGAAGAAGGCTTCCAGCACTTGGGAGCGAAACGTCGGACGCCGCGGCAGAGCCCCAAAACCGTGAAGCGCGTCGGGAGGTTGCAGAACGGAGAGAGGCCTGAGGACTCCACGCTGACCACAAAGTCCGGGTCATGAAACCGCGCGGTCGGCAATAACAACAACAACAAGAAGAATACTTCCAGCAATTTCTGTGTTGCAGTTGTCCTCGATGCCGCAGTTCTTTGCATCGTATTTAACTATTTATGTTCAATCTGTCCGCCGGTGACTCGTGGTCAGAATGTATTATGATGATGATTATTATTATTTTGGGAGGAAGAAAATGTTGCGAGACAATGACTGAAGAGGCGGTGGTGGCTGATGAACGATTATGGAGATTATTTGGGTCTGTTTGTGTTTATATATTGACGCCACAGCCGATATGAACTTTAGCCTGCATTTAAATTCTCGTAATGTTTTTAGCCTCGCGTGAGGGTGTGTTTTATGTCAGGATTATGGCCCAATTCACAATTCGAGCTCCAGTTCGGGCTCCAGTGATGGGTTCGCAACCTATCTTAGGTTGTTAACATCATCATCTTCAGCAGCAGTAGCCACACAATGAGTTTCATCTGCTGTGCTTTGTCAACAGTATTTGTTCAGAGGATCGACTGGGTCTCACCATAGGAATGTGGAATTTCGCACCAATGGAGAAGGACACTTGCCTGCGCTCGTGTAAACAGGGAGACACCATGGACTGAACTCATTTGGAGTTCCTGATTTACATCGCAAAAAAACACGCACAAAGGGAGTTTAAAAGAGATTCATAACATTGTAGAAATATCTTCGCTAGTGGCTCACATTTGCGAACAACCCTGATTCCTCAGCTGGCCTGATGAAAAAAGGATCGCATTTGTCCGTGTGCTTGTGGGCGCGTGGACCGCGCGATCAAAAATCAAAGCGTCCTCGCGCACTTGTCGATATGTGAATGCGCTGTCAAGATCGCCCTCCGCTGTGAAGGAGGCCGATCTTGAAGGACGCTGCTGCCGCTGGGCGGTTGGAGGCAGTCGCCCTCCAGCAGCAACGGAGGCCGGAGGAGCGCCGCTCGCAACAACGAGCGGAGCACCGGGTGGCTCAAACACAGCAAGTAGGCACAGTCGGGGTACAGCTGGTGTGCATTTGCCAGTCGTCTCAGTCGGTCAACTCACGGCACCTGGGTCTGTTCTGAGACCTGTCAGCGAGCCTTCGACGCTTCACGTGGCCCCAATGTACACCTGGCCTGGCCCAAGCGCCATGGTGACGTCGTTGCCGCTTGGTGTTGAACGCCTCGATATCCGATTTATATCAGCAATCGATCACGCTTCACCATTATCCGCTCGGATTTACTGACACGAAGATGGTGAGAGGGGAGCGGTCGAGTCTCGGACCTCCATCCCCAGTTGTGTGCCGCTGGACGGGGAGCTGATGGCGACGTCGGCAGTGGGTAACGTACCGTTGGTTGATGATGGTAGTTGGATGAGTTACTCAGCCTCAGCGTCCGGCCCGGAACTCGAAAATGGGAATTGTGGGCCGGACGATTTGCGCCACCTTTTTGTTGTTTCGGCCAAGAAGAAAAAAACTAAACATTAAAATTTCAGCAAAGTTATTTATATTTTGTAATGTACGCATGTGTCGCTTAATCAATGTCGGTTTAACGCATCGGCTCGTTGCACGGGACCGCGGGTGCGGTGTCCGGTGCGAGCCCTGCGAGGCGTCACGCCTGCTGCGCGCGGGGGCCGCGTGCCTTGCCGACGACACTTTCGATGGGGTTGTGTTGGAGGCGACGCTTCCAATCGGCGGCATATTTATGAGAACCAAAGAGACAGCGCGTTTGGGGCGGCGCTATCCCAACTTGTGTTTTGAAGGCTTTAAGTAGACTAGGAATTATTGTTGTTGTTGTTGTTGGCTCACTTGTGACATGTAAAAGTGTTTGTGATTTCGTAATTGATGTTGGGGCTAATCCATCGCGTGGCCGATAGATTATCGTAATGCTTGTACAGCCTAAGGCGGCCGTGTCGGCAATATTTACAGCGGCGTCGCATTCTCTCTATATATTTTGTATTCGTATTCAATTTTTCTTGCATATTTATGTACACGTGCCGTATTTGTATTCCAAGTGATTATTTCTCCACCACCGCCACCCACCACCGCCACCCACCACCCATCACCACCAGGACCCACCACCACCACCCACCCACCGCCGGCCCGATAATCACGACCGCTTTCGCTTGTTCCGAGCTTGACAACGCGAACATTTCTCCCCCCCCCCCTCCCCATGCGAGCCTAGGCACGGCCGGGTTGGCCCTGCGTTGTCTTTACCACCACCGTTGTCGTGTGCCGGCCGCGTGGCTCGCAGCACGTGACGGCCGGGGGCGACGCGCGGTTCAAATGGCTCGCGAGTGCGGCCCGCGCGGTCCACGCCACAGGGTGGCCAGGAGATGTTAACTACCTCGCCTGGTGTGCAGGAGGTGGCGGGTTCGATCCCGACCCTGACGCCTGCTGCTGTATTTTTGGAGTTTGCGTTTCTCTCTCCCCGTGGTCGCGTGGATTTTCCTCCGGGTACTCCGGTTTTTCCCTCACATTTAGAATCAACATCACGCGTTCAGAGTATTTGGCTGCTATAAATTTCCACACAGTGATAAGCCGCTTCGTGGTAGTCAAGTCGCTCCTGCTATAGAGCTACACAGCTCAGTGTACCTTGGCTGGTAAAATAAAAATAGTTGAGTAGTTTCGGTTTTGTCGCTCGCAGACGTGGGGCTCCAGTGAGAGAAGGCGGCCCTCTGGAAAGGGCTCCGTCCCGTGGGTATTGTCCTTGGCCTACTCTTCCGCGCCGGTCGGGTCGCGTCTTGGAAGATGAGGTGGGAGTAACCAACAACTTCGAATTACTCTTCTTTGCCTCTCGGTCAACGAAATCGGGAATACGAAAGGCGAGGCTCACGTCGTCATCATCGTACATTTAAACGTTCCAAATGTTTTAAAACGTCGTGACGAGCGCACTGTCGTTATTTGTACCTCCTCGGTGTTTTAAACAATGATAACGCAAGGGTGGTGGTGGTGGTGATCGGGAGGGGGATGGTGATTGAAACAGTCCATGGCCCACGTTCCAAAGCATCGGTCACATCTCCGCTGTGCAGAAGCCACGAGCGCGTCTGTTGCCACTCCGAGTTCAGCTCGAGAGAGGAAAACGATCAAACGATTGTCGTGTTTCATCAGCACTTCACTTCAGAATGTTTTACTTCAAAGACACCCATCGCAGTAAACTTTGATGTTCGTGTTGTACATGCGAGCTTGTTGGTCTTACCGTGTAATCATGTTTATCTTATTTATCCATTGCTCCTTGTTATGATTTGAACGCCATGTTATAGTCCTAAGTTTTAGTCAAAGAACAAAAAGCATTTAAATGTGTTTTATTGTTTTCAGGCTGGCCATGCAGTCACATCAAGTTGACCTTTCGTATTTAAAACCAAACTTAGACGATGCTCGCGTGTATTCTGCTTTGCGACGTCGCCTCTGCGCTCGCAGTGCGGACGTTGAACTTCGTTCGCACCGCCGCACGGAGCCACCTGTGCCCACTCGGAGGTGCGGGGGGGGTCCCAGGGCCGAGTCGATGGACTTCGCCGGTCACTGCGCCGGTCCTCACGCTCCGCTGCGGCGACAGGCCGGGTTCGCCGTGGCAGCAGCGGGAAACGAACGCTCAGGGCCAATTCGTCGCAAGTGTCGCAGCCATCGCCGCCGCCGAGCGCGAGAGTGACGGCTCCCTGTCCGTGGCGCTCGCTTGCCCCGCGAGCGGCGTGCGAGGGCTTCGTGCGTGGAAGTCGCGTCGTGAACCGCGGCGTCGAAGCCGCCGGCTTCTGCGAGTGCAGCAGCAGCAGCAGTATTATTATTTAATTCGCTGTCCGCCTGCTTCGTGGCCTCGGGCCCCAGCCGCGTGGCCACGCTCTGGCCCGGCTGTACGGGGGAGAGGCGTCCGTGCGTTTGTCCGTTACGGCTATCAATAAATTATTTATTATTGAAGAAACAAAAAGATGAAGTGTGATTGGTGCACCCTTGTAGCGCGTGTGTGTGTGTGTGCGACGACGATGACGATTATGACGACGACGATGATGACAACGACAATATCATCGTCGACGACAATGACGATATGGTTCTCGTCGTTGACGACGATGATGATCACGACGATGGTCTCCACGAGGCCACCCCAGCGGCTGCTGTCCCGCCAGGGAGGACGGGGAGTCGTCGGGGTGGAGGAGCGAGTCGCTGTCGGGAGTGCAGGCGGTGCAGCTTTGCTGGTTAGGGGGTTAATTACCCGTGGACTCCTCTAGGATGTAAAGCACCGTGATGTTTCGTTACACTTGTGTGGTGTCACTGAGAGCTTCGCCGAGTCTCAAGGCTCCCCGCCTCCTGGAGGGTCCAGCTCCACGTGTTGGCAGAAGGGGGTGGGTGGCGAGCCTCGATGCCTTTCCAAGTCACGTCGATTGCAGGGAAATTGTTCACATTCTTGGCAAATTTGATCCATGACACCGGCACACGATGGCCTACTCTTCTTCAAAGTGATGTTATTGATAACGTCCACTCGTTATCCACCCGCGGAATTCATACATCCGCACCTCCAATTAGCACAGTTGGCTACGTACGGTGCGAAAGAAGTGCAACCTACGTACGTGCAGACACATAACGACACGTTTGTATATTTACGCAATGTAACCCAAAGAATATCTATTATGGATACATACAATACACACACGCGTGCATACGGTACATACAGTACACACATTAACCAGGGCAGCCGACCGGATTCGAACCGCGAACCTCTGCAAAAAGCAGCCAACACGTTGCCAGTGAGCCATTTCACCGCTCCGAGATATCGTGGCAAGAAGAAGGCGGAGGAGGACGTCTTGAGATGGGCACCATTGTTACAGTCGTCCATTGACGCAACCAGGGAACTTGAGAAATTCCCAGGATGGCGGTGGTCACGGCCTCGACCAGGGGACGCTACTGGGAAAACCGGGACAGGTGGCAACCCGCACTAGAAGGCCCAGGTGCTGGGTTACACGGGGGGGGGGGCACCATTCCCCGCACCAGTGCCTCGGCCCACCATGGCAGCCTTCACGGCAGGAGAGGGCCGAGGTTTTACAAATAAACTCGTACAGGGATAACGTTTGGGCCACTCTGTTCTGGGGGTGCCACGGTGGCTAGGAGATTTGACTACCTCGCCCGGTATACAGGAGGTCGTGGGTTCGATCCCGACCCTGCAGACGCCTGCTGCTGTGTATTTGGAGTTTGCGTGTCTCTCTCCCCGTGGTCGCGTGGATATTTATCTCCACATTAAGAATCAACATCGCCACGCGTTTAGAGTATTTGGCTGCTATACATTCCCACCGTGATGATGAGACGACACCTCGTTGGGCTATCATTTGTGATAGCCACGTCGCTTCTGACGAATAGCTCTGTAGCTCAGTGGGCATTAATTGGTGAAATAAAAAATAATTTATAGTTTAGTTTAACTACCCCACATGGGAAGAGTCTAGTCCAGGGCTCGGCAAGCTAAATAACAAGAAGAGACATTTTTTCTAATTCTGTTAAAACCCCTTCAATATTTCAAGGCAATGTCATGAATACGAGGCAGTGGTGGTCCATGAAAGAGAACGCGTCTCACGAAGCAGCATCTCCTTGAGAAAGCCGCAGGTCACCGAGCCCCTGCTCGAGGTCCCGCATCTGATGACAGCCCACGAGACTCGCAGGGCAATCGGGTTCACATCTTGGGGAAAATAGTAAAACATAAAAAATGTCAAGAGTTAAAACGCGGACTGCGCCATGGATATCCACCGTGCCGGGGTCGTGGTGATTCGTCGTCCCCGCCCCGTGACAGCGGCACGCATCTTAATGCCCTCCGCCTCAATTCCCCGCGCGTTGCTCGCTGACCTCCTGTCTGGCCACGTCCATACTGCGCATTCCTCGCGGCTGCTTTGCTTTCAGAGAGTCTCCCGGGCAACCGAGTCGTCTTCAAAACACCACGTCTCTCTCTCTCTCCATCCCTCTGTCCCTCCCCGTGTGACCTCGCGTGGCGTGTGTGTGTCTGTGTGTGTGTCTCCGTGTGTGTGCGACTGTCTGTGTGTGTCTCTGTGTGTGTGTCTGTGTGTGTGTGCCTGTGTGTGTGTCTCCGTGTGTGTGCGTGTCTGCGTGTGTCTCTCTGTGTGTCTCCGTGTCTGTGTGTGTCTCCGTGTGTGTGCGTGTCTCTTCTTCTTTGTTGGGAGTGGTTAGTATAGCGGTTAGCGCGCTGTGCGACGAGTTCGATTTCCGATCACGGCCAACACCAGTGACGATTAGTTGAATCGATCCTGGGCCTCCCCTAAGTCGACTCAGCCTCAAATGAGTACCTGGTGCGGTATGTAAAGGCGGCCGGGCGTGGTGCTGGCCACCGATTCCCTCGTGTGTGCCGTGCTGGCCTTCATAGGTGCTCGCTAACAGCATTTGCCCCAACGGTCTGTCACGTCTATAGGGGGGATCTTTGTCATCGTTAGTTGGAGAGGCAGTCGCCCTCCAACAACAACAGCGACGGACAGTGGAGCGACGCTCACAACAACGAGCGGAGCGCCGGGCAGATAAAACTCGGTGAACCCATAAAACGTGGGTCTGTCCCGTGGCCTCCAGCAGCGCGCCCTCGACACTTTTACGCGATGGCCTCAACAGTGCACGGGGTGCTCGTGGCGAGCACTCCGCAATCGTCTCGACGTCGGTTCGATTTTCTGGCGCCCCAGTTGATCTAATGGGGCAAGTTTCTTTTTAATCCACGCTCTGTCCACCCCTCTGTGTGGTGGGGTAAAGTGTGGGTGCGATGGAGTCGTGTGACCATTATGGGCGCCGCGGTGGTGAGATGTTAACTACCTCGTCTGATTTACAGAAGGCCCTGGGTTCGATCCCAACCCTAACGCCTGCTGCTGTGTATTTGGAGTCTGCGTGTTTCTCCCCACGTGGTCGCGTGAATTTCTCTCCGGGTCCTTCGGGGTTCCCCTCCACATTTAGAGTCAACATCGCGACGCGTTTCGAGTATTTGGATGCTGCTATAATTGTCCACGTGGCGATGATAAGCCGCTACTTGGTTGAGCTGTCATTTGTGTCGGCCAGGTCGCTTCTGAAAGCGAGATACAGAGCTCAGTGGACCTCACCTTGTCAAATAAACAAGAGTTTGTCGGAGAGTAAACCTGGAGACCTCGTGTCGGGGCCCTCTAGCTGGAGCGCATCTGCCGTGAGTTGCGTGAGGAAGCAATTGCTGGACTGCGACGTTGCCCTTGACGTGTGCACAGTAAGGTACAGGTGGAGGGGTGGTGCAGCGGTTAGCGCACTGCGCTACGAGCCTCCCGCTCAGGGCCCAACATCGGTGGTGAACACCTGAACCGGTCCCGGGATTCCTTCTCGGTCGACTCACTCTTAGGATGTGTACCCGGTGCGGTGTGTACGTATCATCACTCACTCGGGGAGACAAAGGTGGCCGGGCGTGGTGTGTGACCACACCACCCCGCTCCATAGGCGCTAACAGCACTTGCCCCAAGAGCCCGTGCAGGCACTACGGGGATCTTTGGCTTTGTGCTCAGCACGTGTGTCCGTGTGCCGCTTTTCCCCCCATTTGCAGCCGCAAGGTATTCCAAACAGCGCATTTTTTTCTCGTTCATAGAACATCACCAAAAATAGAACAAACTATGCGTTCCAGTGTTTTTGTGTGTTACTTTAATCATTTGTTCGGGCCCTACCCGGGGTAGAGGGGAGGGTGAGATGGGGATATTTCCGTCTATAATAATACTTATTTTTACGAGGAAAACAGCAAAATTCCGATTCAATTAGGCGATTTAAATCTCCGGATTATCGGTGTGGTTTAAACAAAAACACTCGAATAGGATACGAAGGGAAACATTGTAGCGAAGCCCATATTAGTGCCACTGGTCACTGTGGTGGGCTCACAGTTGTGAGCAAGGAGTGGGAGTCCATATCCTGGTCCGTGAGTTCAACTCAGGGCACCGTCCTCAATCATCCTCAACAACAACATCATCATCATAAAGATATCAACATCATCACCACCACCAAACAGCGTTAGTGTCATCATCGTCTTCTTCTTCATCATCCACCCAGCCCCGTCTCTCATCTCATCACGGGCATCATCCCTGCTGCGCTGTAGGCAAGTGGCTGAGCTGTCGAGTGTGCAGGACGTGCAGTTGCACCCAGATCCATGAGCCAAAGGGGCCCAGGCTCCGGGATTTGAAGAGGTGGGGGGAGGCGGGGGGAGGCGGGGGGTGGGGGGGTGTGGGGAGCGGTAGTGTAGTGGTTAGTGCGCTGCACTATGAACCCGGCGATCCGAGTTCGATTCCTGCTCACAGCAAAAACCACTGACGATTATTTGAACCGGTCCTGGGCCTCTCCGAGATCGACTCAGCCTCAAATGAGTACCAAGACACCTATCCCCTCGTGTACCCTTCCGGCCTTCATAGGTGCTCGCTAGCAGCACTTGCCCCAACAGTTTGTTAAGGCTATACTGATGATCTTTGGATGGGTGGGCGGGTGTCGGGCTGGATGGGGGAGAAATGGAACTGCGCCCTCCCCTTGCGCCGGGGTCCATGACAACCGTTGGTGGCGGTCGCTAAGAAGCAGGAGGCCACTTTCACGAGCGGCAGCAGCAGCAGTCAGCTGTGCTGCTGCTGAGAAACGAATCGTCAGATTGGGGGGGGGGGCGGCAAGATTCCCCGTGCGCGTTCATCGTGAACCAACTGCTGTGGTGGCTGAAAAAAAGAATTTCGAGAGAGAGGACAATCCTCCATGCATGCGCAGAGAAATGTGGTAAAGCAAATGCCAGAGAGAGTGAGTGCACAGCGATGATACACGGCACTCCGATCAATCATCCGGCGCATTCCGTAGCATTCATCACGAGAACCGCAGCGGATAAGTCGCGTGTCGTCATTCCAAATGTTGTTTTCGTTGTGCGGACGGCTGC